CTTAAGGTTCAGAACTGTTTGATATTGTGTTAGTCATGTCTCTGGCCCTGTGCTACTCCATATTTTAAGTAATCATCAATGATAACTGATTATTTTAAATTGAGATTATTTAAGAAATAATCAATGATTATAAAGATGAAAAAGCAGAACTTCTGCTATGCCAGATGATTACTTAAGGTTTTTACTTACATTTTAAATTCATTTTTATTTTTTAAAATTTGTAATTTGTGTGTGTGTGCATGCGTGTGTGTGTGTGTGTGTGTGTGTGTGTGTTATTGGGGAACCAGGACTTATTGCTTGCTAGGCAAGTGCTCTACCACTGAACTACATCTCCAGCCTTCTCCATGTAGCTCCTTGCCTATTCTTTAAAATTTTTTTCTTTAAAATTTTGAGACAAGTTCTCACTAGGTTTCCCAGGCTGGTCTCAAATGTGAGAGCCTCCTGCCTCAGTTTCCCAAGTAGCTGGGGTTACAGATGTGCACCACCATGCTGATTTAAATTTTGTTTTAAATTTAAAATTTGGATAGATTGTTGGATTGAACAAAGGGCCTCCCTCATGCCAGGGAAGCGTGTGCTTTAGCACTGAGCTAACCTTCAGTTCCTTGCATTTAACATTTGAAACAGTGAAACTGAATGCAAACTATACAGTGTAATATTTTTGCTCAATAGATGCAAATTTTACCACATCCCCAAGATAAAAATGTATGCATATGAATAAAAACATGAAGATAGTATACTAGAATGTTCTAAAATGATCAGTTTGGGTGAAAGATACTAGAGCAGTCCCAGTGTGGGGTTGTTCTCTGATGGGTGTCTGTAGAACAGACAGGCAAGGAGCTACAAGTGACCAGTGGCCAGTGACAACCAGCAGGACTGTGCTTGTTTCTAACTGTTCTGTCTCCAGTTGTTTTCCTGGTTCTCCTCCCTTTCTTTCCTGCCTTGGGTTTGTATTCCCGGTCTGTGTCCTGTTACCCCAGCAGATGGCATCTGCTTCTTCTACTTCTTTCCCAATGTAAGACAGGCTGTCAGATTTGCACATGACTCTAAGCTTAGCAACCTGCATAACACCAGATGACACAATAAATATTCAAGATGCTCTTGACACTTTGGAATGCTACACCAAAAGCAGCCAAATAACAATAAAGGTGAAGGCTCCCTCATGCTAGAGAAGCGTGTGTTTAGCACTGAGCTATACCTTCAGTTCCTTGTGTTTAACATTAAAACAACTCGGGGTTCTGAGGGAATTGTGGGGGTGATGGGAGTGTTCACTCTGTTGATGGTGGTGTTGTGGGCAGGTGCAACTTGCCAGCACCCATGAAAGAGTGCATATTCTGGGAGATGGACTGAATGCATTTTGCCTTGTGAGATGGACAGGAGCTTTGGGGGCTGAGTGAATACTGTAGTTTAGATTTCTAATGTCCTGCAAAGATCCCTATATTGAGGGCTTTGCCCCCAACCTGTGCTCTGTTGGAGGCGGTGGAACCTTAGGAAGTGGGTTGTGTGGAAGGAAGTTAGGTCATTGGGAGCACACCCTTGAAGGGTCAGTTGCGACCCTGCTCCTCCTTTTTTCTCCCTCTTCTTCCCAGCAGCTCCTCCTTTTTTCTCCCTTTGCTTCACCTCAGCTCTGAGGTGAGGCATTTCCTCCAACATGTACTTCCACCATGATGTGTTGCCATAGACATGGACCAATCCTGCATGCACTGAACCTCCCAAATCTGTGAGCCAAAATAGACCCTCCTGGGCTGGGGATTTAGCTCAGCGGCAAAGCGCCTGCCTGGCAAGTGCAAGGTCGTGAGTTCGGTTCCCAGTACCGGAGAAAAACCAAAAAAAAA